CATGGATTTATAAGTATAACTTAACTATTTTAATAACTCTTGTACAGTGCATGGTTATATCATTGTCTCCTTCGCTCAGGTACATCAATGTACAGTACTTTATAGCAGAGTCTGCAGGCAGTACAAACAGAACAGATGCACAGCTCAGTCGCATGGAAATTTGTAAAAGTGACCTCTGCAGTGAGGCCTGCTGAGAAGTTTGTTTTGGGAAGGGCTCCTGTGGCTCCCAGCTTTACAGAGCTGTCGTGTACACTCCTGTTAAAATGCCAGATAACTGTAATTCCCTGTGATTTGCTTTCCTCTACACCCCAGGACAAGAAGGTGGGGTGTTTCCTAGCTCAACATTTGGTTTTATTTTCATTTTAGAAACTCTTTTGCCTCCGGTGCTTGCCATCCTGCTTCCCTTCATCCTCTTCCAGAGCCAGGGCTTCTCAGGACGATTGTCCTCTTCATCCCTCCCTGACAAGGTGAGTGCCCTTCTCAGATCCCAGCAGGGCTGTGACCAAACCCAGGATCCCCCCCTGCCTGCACCCTGATTCTGCTGCTGCCAGCAGCGTCCTCTTTCAGATGAAGAAAACAGATTATCCATGGGAGACAGTCAGGAATAAAGCAAACCTGAGGTGCTCTGGTGCTCTCAGATCGAGACACGAGTTCCCCAACGCTGTGTTAAAGCTTTTCCCGTTAAATGTGCAAGGACAGACACAAATCTGGGCAAAGACTGAGCAGTGCTGAGAGAGAAAAGCCAACTGTCCCTGGGCTGTGGGCAGCTCTGGAGCTGTGTTTGCTTCACTGCTTTGCAATCAGCTTGGTCTGTCAGGTAAACAGAGACAGAAATGCAGTGTGCCAAACTTGCTGTGGACAGGAAGTACGCTGCTTGCTTGAGTTTTGAAATTGTGAGTAAGTTTTGGAAGCATAATCACTAATTCTGCCTCCAGGGAGAGAGATTTTCCTCACCCCCTATTTACAGATTGTTATATAGAAATGCACATAACTTTATGAAGGAAAACAGGAAGTCAAGAGCAACACCCTGTGCTAAATTAGATTTTTTTTCCTTGTGCCCATTTATTGGGAGTTAAACCTGCCTTTCCCAGTGTGCTTTGGGGTTTCAGCTATTTGGGAATAACTTCAGCTGACTTTCTGCAGTGAAAAGCTGAAGGTGGGGACGAGTGACCAACACCCTGGGAAGGGCTGTGGGTGTGCCTGGGACAGGAGCAAATGGTCAGGGCTTATCTTCTCCTGGTCTGAGGCCGGGTTTGGCAGCCCCACAGCATTCCAGGGCAGGATCAGTGGCCCAGGGAAGGGCTGCACAGCTGCCCTGAGCCCAGGCCTGTGCATCAGCAGCAGTGGGCAGGTGGAGCTCACCCATGTCCACGTTCAGATCCCTTTGTTTGTCACTCCTGCTCCTTCCTAGGCACTGAGAGCTCATTTCAGCTGCTCAGAGACAGCACCAACTGGTCTGTGGATTTAGGGAAGCAGCCAGACTTTGGGAATGTGTGTTGCCATTCCAGCCTTGTCCAGTGAGGGGCACAGGGGACAGGAGGGGGACAGGGAGTTGTCACCGGGCTGTGCTCGTGGGCTGCAGGGGACACCTGCCCTGAGGAGGGAATGGAAGTGGGGCTGCCTTAGGCTGCCCATCCCTGGCAGTGTCCAAGGCCAGGCTGGACAGGATTTGAACAACTTGGGCTTGGGAAAGGCGTCCCTGCCCGTGATGGGGGGGAACAGGATGAGCTTTAATGTCCTTTCCTTGAACCCAAAGCAGTGCAGGGTTGTTCCTGCAGCCTCATTTTCGGGGTGCAGGCTCCAGGCCCTGAGCTGGCCCCTCCTGAGCTGTGTGCCAGCCCTGCTCTGCCAGCCAGGGCTGGGAGCAGGGACAGCCCTTGGGGAAAAGCTCTGGGGTCTCTGTTTGAATCCAGCCCTTGTCGTCCATCCAGCCCCGCGGGAATCCTGCTCCAATCGCATGCACGGAAAATCTCAGTATAAAATACATAGTTATAAAAAAAATACTTCATGCAAAATTAAAACACCTTTCCCAGTGGGATATGGTCTTGTTGCCAACCCTTCCCCAGAGTGTTCAAGGAATTGTCACTCTGATGGCAGCTGGAGCCCAAGGGGAGCTCTGCTGCCTCCGGCCTGGGCCGGCAATCATTGCTTTCATTCCCTTTTTTCTGCACTACTGAGGGCTAAGAGCTGAAATAAAGCAGAGAGACTTTAATTAGCAGAATCAATCCTTTCCTGGCGGCGCTTCATGATCTCTTGGAGCTCTGACTCCCCTCTGCTTTTCTGGAATGGAAACAAAACAGCAAGTTTGGATTTGAACTTGAAGCTGTAGTTAAATTACAGTATTTAATGAATGCTGTGGGAGTAGGGCTAGTTTCAAAGGGATAGGTGATATCAGTAAAAAGCAGATTAATTAATGGAAACAGGGAGATCTTATGGATTTGGGGGCTTTTAGCTTAAAAGACACTTCAGAATTTTTTATGTGTGTTTTATTGCTTGTGTAGGTTTGGTTGCATTCTTTTTTCCCCCAATTGTGTTTCTTAAAATGTGTGTTTAATGAGCTATGTGCCACTGCTGGTACAGCCCCCCATTCCAGCAGGAATTGCCCAGAAAAACACTCACCTCCAGCTGGTTTTTCTCCACCGTGATCTTGCTGTACACTCTGTTCCCCTCATCACCACACACCTTCTTCAGCTCCTCTCTGTTGAGGGAGAAGAGCTGAGCTCCAGTGAGGATGCCCAGGTGTTCCACGGTCCTGGGGAGACACAAAGTGGGGGATGATGGTTGTGCTGCAGTGGCCTCGTGCCAGAGGTGAGGAGTGGGAGATGGGAGGCTGGGAGCTGCACTGGGGTCGTGTCACAGGCCCTGGGGCTGTGCCAGGCTGGCAGCTGTGATTCCAGTGGCATCTCAGGCCGTGGGTTTAGTTCATGGATTGTTTTTCTCCAAGAAAATGTTTATAAGAAAGAAAGGGAGTGAGTTTGGGCTCTGGGTATGCTGGTTATAGAGCCTGGGTTTAATAGGGTTGCAATCTAATTTACAGCACAGGCTCTGTAGGTAAATCCCAGTGACTTGTCCCAGGTGAGATGGTGCCAGTGGCCTCCCCAGCTCCTTCTCCAGGGAAGGACGAGCGTTTCATGTGGCAACAGAGCAAATCTTACTCTTTGCTGAATGACTTGGCCTCCAGCCAGGCTTTGACTTCTTCAGTGCTGGATTCAAAGGTGAGGGGGACAAAAACTTGCTGAGGCTTTTCCACTTTGAAATTCCTGTGGGGAGGCTGAATTTTATTGTTTGTGATCTTCTTTAGCAGCTCGTCGTTCAGCTCATCCATTTGGTGAATAAGTTCTGCAGAAACAGGTAGGGAATGAAATCAAATATTGAGTCAAAAATGCCATTAAATGTGGGGAAATTGTAAGGAAAATGGGGGTGTGGTTCAGCAATTTTATTAAGTCTGTAAATACAGCCCAGGAAAGGGTTTACTTTTGTATTTTAGTCTAAAAAACAAGCTTAGGTGCTCTGTTGGAGCAATAGGGTGAGTGATGAGGTTTGGACCTTCAGAATACCATCAGGAACAAGTGTGTACGGGGAGATCTCTGTGGTTTTGGAGGCTGGAGGGCCCCAGAGGGGAGTGGGGGATCTCCCCTTTCCCCCTGAGCCAAGAGTCTCCCTTCAGCTTTTGAAACCTCACTTTCTCTTTGGGAGAAATTGTGATTTCTGCAGTTCTTCTGCAGGATAAAGGAGAGGACAGATCACAGAATCCCAGTCGAGGGATCTAAAAAGCTGCTTTATGGTTTCTTGCAGTGTGACCGGGGAGAGAACTTCACTTTCACTTGTTTTGTGAACAAATTTACAGTGGGACCAGTTGTTTCTCACGTTTCTAACTCACGCTGTTCCTCCTGCCCCATTCAAAGGACATAAAACCCCTCAACACCCACCAGCTCCTGCTCCAGGTGTGCTCAGGGGTGTAAACTCATCTGGCAGAGTCTTTGCTCCCAGTGCTGCTCTCAAGTGGTGACAAGGGACAGGGTCCCATTCCCTGAGGGCTGGGGTTGATGTTGGGGTTCTGCTTCAGCTTGTCATCTTCTTGGGTTTGAGTTATTTAGTTCCCTTTGGGCTGGTGAAATAAGGGAACTGCCCTGCAAACTTCTCAGCAAGAGGGGAAACTCCCAGCCCCCGTGAGGCAGCAGAGGCTGGGGGATGGACTCTGTGTTTCCCAGAACCATGTTCCCATTTTCCTGAGCCCAGTGTTGCCATTTATTTCCCTCCCATCACCCCTGGGCTGTTGCCTGGTGTGGAAGGACAGATCTGTGAGGATCTACAATTGGAGAGTTGGAATTGAGACCTTTTCAGTCCTCTCTGCTACTTCAAATCACTAAGTCAGTGATTTGCTGATCCCAGAGCCCCAGGTTTTGCTCCACAGCGGAACAGAAGCAGCAGGAAGCACAAACTGGGAGTGAGGAGCACACTCATGATGAGATGAGCTTGAAGGTCCCTGTGACTCTGGGAAAACTCCAGTGACACTTCATCCAGTGTCACTTTCCCCATGAAACTCCTGAGGACTGTGGAGAATAACTGGGTGTTTGAACAGATTGGAGTCCAGCAGGGGATGAGCAGGGCAGGACAGGGAGTTGTTGCTGTCCTCCCTCCTCACCGTGGTTGGGATGGGACCGATGTGTCTGAGCTGAGGAGGGGACACAGCCCAGCACAGGCAGCCTGTGCCAGCCTGGATTGGAGCACAGCTCTGTGTCACTGTCACACAGCACCAGGGACAAGGAGCTGGTGCTGGCTGCCATCCTGAGCTCTGTGTCACTGTCACACACCACCAGGGACAAGGAGCTGGTGCTGGCTGCCATCCTGAGCCCTGTGTCACTGTCACACACCACCAGGGACAAGGAGCTGGTGCTGGCTGCCATCCTGAGCTCTCTGCTGCCCCTGGAAGGGGAGGGGACACACCTTTCCCAGGAGTGCTCACGTACCTCCAGGATTTCATCCTTCAGCACCGACAGCTCATTGGCGTTTCGTGCAGTGAAATCGTAGCGGATTTTGGCAAATCTCCTGGGCACAGCCACTCCCTGAGCCTCAAAATTCCTGCAGGAGAGAAAAACTGGAGTTTTAGTGGAAGCCCACCTGGTAATGGAACCAAATGTGGGTTCACTGGTGGAACAAGAGTGATGGTGGCTGGGAGTTTACATTTGGAGGGGCAGAGTCCCTCTGCTCCTCTTTTGAGGAAGATTTGCAGCCCTTGTTTCAGTGGAATCCCTTGGGGCTGGGAACAAGCAAGCAAACCAAAGCTGCTGGGGTTTGGTATGGGGCCTTCCTGGGGGCTGTGAGGCAGCTCCTGGAAGGGTGGAAGGAATTGCTGCTTTAGGGCCTGGGGGGGCTGACACAGCAGGACCCAAAGGCTCTGATTGCAAGTCCAGGGAAAGAGGAGTGAAATGCTCCCTGTTCTGCCCAGTGGAAACAACTGCCCCAGATGCCAGAGCAGGGAACAGCTGGGGGAAGAGGAATTGAAAATCCAAGCGGCAGAACCCACTGGAAATCTGTGGGGTTTTTATCAGGCTGAATTCTGCAAGTTCCCAGGAAACGTGAGTTTGGATGTTTCTATGCTAAGATGTATTTGGGCACAGGGGAAGAGAAATGCATTTATGTGTCAGCTTGGGACACCAGAATATACGGTTTTCAAAGCTGAATTGGCTTTTTGTTTGAAGAGAGACAAAATGAATATGGTAGACTGTTGAAAATGGTGAAAAAGTGGAATGAAAGGTTCTTTTTTACCCAAACTGAAAAGTTTTGCTTTGTTTTGTTTTGTTTTGTGTTGCCTGGCTTAGGGAATTTAGCAGATCTCATCTTTTTCTTCTCCAGCTGAGTGAAGTGCTATCTGTTGAATTAAAAAACCATTTGCTGTATGGAAAAACAGTCTTGCCTTGTGAAAGGACAGGTAGGAACAATTTTAATGCACTTCCCAGGGATCTTTTTGCTTATGAAATGTAACCTGCACAGATACCTGATGCCATATTCACTGGGGCTCAGGGTCTCCTTCAGCTGTTGTAGCTCAGGGCAATCAGTGCTTCCAGCACTGCCAGCAGCTCTGCTTTTCCCTTTCTGACCTACTGGCTTTGGCCAGTGGTTTGAAATCCATGTGCTGGGGAAGCTCAGTTCTTTGTGCACTGTAAAACCTGGCAATGGAAATTGAGCCCATTGTACTTAGTTTAAATTAATTCTCCTGCCCTCATGAGCTGTGTTAGGTGGTCAGAAGGAGGTTGAAACCACTAATTTAGTGCTGGATACCACAACAGTGGTTGCAGGATTGTCTTTAGCTCACGTGTTTTGGGACAGCTCCTGGTCTGGTTATACCCCTGTGGAACATTTCAGTTGGAATTCCACAGTGGGGGAGAGCTTGGAGGAGTCAAATGAATCCAGCAGGCCAGGGAGGGAGAGCTGCCTTTGCCCAGCAGTGCCCTGAGGGCCAGGAGGAGAAGGGAATCCCAGTTAGGTTGGAATTCCTTCTTCTGTGGCATTCCAGAAGGTAACTGAGTCAGGAGGGAGGAGTTTGGGGCTGGTGTGTGCTTTGTGTGCACCTGGGCTGTGCAAGGGGACCTGTGCTGAAGGTTGTGCTGCTGCTGGGGCTCCCAGGGCTCTTCTCTGCAGCCAGGAGCCGAGCTGTAAATAACTGCAGTACTGAGGGGTGGCTCTTTGTGCTCATCTGGGGTCTCCTGGCTGGAAAACTTGGTCAGACTGCTCTGAAAAGAGCAAGAGCACAGCAGGAAAAATGTCTGTCCCAGGGCTGTCATCCTGGCAGATTAACAATTCACTTGCAGGGGTTTTTTTTTTTCTGATGTGTTATCCATAAGGAAAAATTGCTGTTGAGGGTGTGAAAGGTAGGTAAACATGTACAACACCTACCCCAGGAGAAAGGAGATTCCTCTCCCTCTCCCTCTCCCTCTCCCTCTCCCACCTTGGTAGAAGGCACCTGATCATTTCTGTTTCCAGATTCCATCCTGCTGTTCATGGTTTGCCTGTGTAGGTGGAAATGTTTCCCCACATGTGTTGTCTGCCAGTCATTAAAAAGAGACTCCAATCTTGTAGTGTAAACTAAATTCCTTATTTTTCCCAACCTCACCAAGACATCTGGAATTGGAAAAGAGAAATGATCCCAATTCTTTCCCTGCTCCACACTGCACCTGGACCACTTGATGTTCCTACCAGGGCTTGGGGCAGCAGAATCTTGGTGGCCACAGTTGGGAACTCGGTGAATTGGAGCAAAGATGAAGAGTTTGTCCACTAAGAGAAGTGGTGAATTATAAAGCAACGCAGAGTGATATTCCTTCCACATCAGGGATTTGGGATTGGTGATGGTCCCAATCCATCATCTTTCTGTTCATTTTCTTTTGGATGCTGCAGCCTGCTGGGCTGGGGGAGCTGTTCCTTTGCATTTAATTTTCTGTATTCTGTAAATTCTCTGTGGAAATCTGCTTTTAATAAAAAGGCTCTTGATGATGTCCCAGATTCCTGGGATTCACAGGTGTGTGTTCAGACCAAGGAATGTTCTGGCTGGCAGAAGCTGCACCAATCTCCCAGGAATCTCAGTCTGGGTTTGTCTTTGCTCCCAGTTCTCCTCAGTTTGGGGTGCAGTGCAGCCCTGCCCTGTGGATCTCCCAGAAGAGTTTTGGGGTTAAAAAGGTTCTTTCCTATTCTGCAGTTTTTCTCTAGAATTCAATAAAAAAGAATAAAACTGTATCAATGTGGTTTTAATTGGTTCATTTGCATTGATTAATTAAAGCAGATCATTGAGAAGGGGCTTGAGCAGCCCTTGGTTGGAGCTGGCAGTTCTTTATTGTCTCTTCATTCTTTGAATTTATTTTAATTATTTCTTAAGCAATTACTGCAGCTAAGTTACTGCCCAGCTGGATTGGGAAATCCAAGTGCAATTCCTTGGAGAGATTGAGGGGATGGGGAGCTGAGCCTCAGGCTGGGTTTTGGCAGCAGGAACTGGCTGAGGAGAGGGGAGATCCCCCAAAATCGGTTAAAGCCAAATCTGCTGGGTTTGGGTACTCCCACCCCAAAAAAGGATCCTGGTTAAAGGGACTTGAGGAAGCAGCGGGATGTGCTGGGAGGGCTGTGCTGGGATCACCTATCCCTGGCCAGGAACGTGTGCCCAAATTCCAGCCAGGAATGCTGGGCAGTGCCAGGTTCACAGGGACACTACAGAGGGGCTGTGCAGGGATCCCCAAATTCCAGCCAGGAACGCTGGGCAGTACCAGACCTTTGGGACACTGCCTGATCCAGAGACATTTCCCACTGTGTTCTCTCCTGCTCAGCACCTGGCATTCCATTGGAGTCCCACAGGCTGGAAATGCCATGCGAACACTGGAATCGCAGCCGATCACACAGAAGCCAGTCCGGGAGAGGAAATGAGCTGTTCCACATATGGATTTTTCCCGATGTATTTTAATTTAAAGCAGAACATCGCCCGCCCCTCCCACCTGCCTCGACCCCATAGCCTTTATGTTTGGGGTTTCTCTAGGAGAATTATATGCCTACGCTGGATAAAAATTTCCGAAATTATTTCTCCGGCGCTGCGGGGACCGGCGGGGCTTGGAGCGTTCCGGGGCCGTGGCGGAACCGGAGCAGGAGCGGCAGCGCCGGGCTCCGCCCCAGCGCCCGTCCCGGAGCGGCTCCTCCCGCCCGCGGCGAGCCCGGTCCCCATGCCGGCCCCAATCCCGCCCCGGGACCCCCAGCGGACACGGGCCCGAAGCCCCGGTGCCAGGGCCGGGAGCAGCCCCGGTTCGGCCCAGCCGTGAGGGACGGGCCCGGCCCATGTGAGAGGGGCGAGGCCGCGAGCGATGGCCCCGCCCCCAGCCCGGGCAGGGCGGGGCTCCATGAGGCGGGGCCCGGGGTGTGCCCAGGGGCGGTTCAAGGGGCGGGGCCGGGGCTCTGTGAGGCGGAGCCCAGGGCGGGGCCGGGGCTCTGTGAGGCGGTTCCGGGGGCGGATCCAGAGGCGGGGCCGAACCCGACACAGGTGCGAGGGGCGGGCCCGGCTCAGGTGCGCGGGGCCCCAGCGCGGCTGCGCGGGGCGGGGCCGAGGTGATTTAATCCCCGGGAATCGCCTCCGCCGCCATTTGCTCACTCAGAGCTCGGTGCGGGCGGCGGCTGCGTGTCCGCCGTCCTCAGGTGGGGCGCGGGGGCTTCGGCCTCCCCTCCTGTCTCCCCCTCTACCCCTCCTTCCTTCTCCCCGTACTCCCCTGCTTTCTCTCCCTTTCCGCCTCCTCCCTCTCTCCCCCAAACCCTCCTCGCCTTTCTTCCCAAACCTCCACACTCCTTCCTCTCCTGTTAATCCCTCTACCCGGTTAATCCCTTCTATTCCCATTCTCTCCTTCCTCTGTCCACGTTCCTTCTCTTCCCTCTTGGCCTTTCCCTTCTCCTCCCGCTTTCCTCCGTACCCCGATCCACCTCCCCACCCCTCCTCACCCTCCTCATCTCTCCTCTCTCCCCGTCCTCCCCTCTCCTTCCCTCTCCCTCTTTCCCCCGCAGCCCCGGGGCTCGGGGCGCCGCACAATAAAGCCCAGAGGGCCGGAGCGGCGCCCCCGCTGTCCCTGGAGCCCCCACACGGGGCGGGACCCCCCATTGCAGTGCAATGCACGGCCCGACAGCGCCGGGGTTCCGGTTGTCCCTACATCACACTGGGGGGCCCCGGGGGGGGGGAGGTTGGGGGGTGGGGGGGTGTTAGGCAGGGCCCCCTCCTCAGGAGGGGGTCCCAGGGGGGAGCGGGTTGGGGTGGGGGGTAGGGCCCCCTCCGGAGACGGGGGGTCCCAGGGAGGGGGGCGAGGCGGGCCCCCTCCGGGGGAGGGGCCCCGGTGGAGGGCGGGGCGGAGGGGGCACTTCCCCCCTCCAGGCTCCGCCCGCTCCCCGGGACCCCTCCACCGGACGGGGCTCGGCCCGGCCCCCTCCCCGGGACCCCCTACTGCGGACCGGGGCCCGGGGGGAGGGAGGGGGCGGGTGGGGGGGAAGCGGAGGGCGTCACGTCACTCTGCAGCGCGAGCACATCTAGAGATCACCGGACAGAAAAATGGCCCCTCCCCTTCTACCCTCCCACCCCCTCTCCCGGGTCCCGGTCCGTGTGAGGGGCGGGGAATCATGTGTGAAGGGCAGGGCTCCAGGCAGCTGGGGGAAGGGCTCCATGTGTGAGGGACAGGGCTCCATGTGTGTGGGCGGGGCTCCATGTGGGAGGGGAAGGGCTCCATGTTTCAGGGGCGAGGCTCCATGTGTGACGGAAAGGGCTCCATGCTTGAGGGGCGGGGATCCAGGCACTGAGGGGCGGGGCTCTAGGCAGTGATGGGCGGTGCCCCATGTGTGAGGGGCAGGGATCCGGGCAGTGAGGGGGAGGTCCCCATGTGTGAGGGAAGGGGCTCCATGTGTGAGTGGCAGGGACCTAGGCAGTGATGGGCGGGGCTCCAGGCAGTGATGGGCTGGGCTCCTTGTGTGAGGGGCGGGGCTCGATGTGTGAGAGGCCGAGCTCCATGTGTGAAGGGCTGGGCTCAAGACGGTGAGGGGCTGGGCTCCATGTGGGAGGAGCAGGGCTCCATGTGTGACGGGCAGGGCTTCCGGCAGTGAGGGGCAGGGCTCCATGTTTGAGGGGCAGGCCTCAATGTGTGAGGAGCGACGCTCCATGTGTGAGGGGCAGGGCTCCAGGCAGCTAGGGGCAGGGCTCCATATGTGCAGGGCAGGACTCCCTCTGGATGGGACTGGGCTCCATGTGTGAGGGGCAGGGCTCCAGGCAGACAGGGGCGGGGCTCCATGTTTGAGGGGCAGGTCTCCAAGTGGTGAGGAGCATGGCTCCATGTGTGAGAGGCAGGGCTCCTGGCAGTGACGGGCGGGGCTCCATATATGAGCGGCAGGGCTCCATGTGCGAGGGAAGGGGCTCCACGCGTGAGGGGCGGGGATCCAGGCAGTGGGGGTAGGGGTTCTAGGCAGAGATGGGCGGGGCTCCATGTGTTAGGGGTGGGGCTCCAGGCAGTGAGGGGAAGAGCTCCGTGTTTGAGGAGCTGTGCTCCAGGTGGTGAGGGGCAGGGAATCATGCGTGAGGGGCAGGGCTGCATGTGGATGGGGCTGGGCTCCATGTGTGAGGGACAGGGCCACAGGCCACCAGACATGGAGCCCCACCCCTCACTGACTGGATCCCCACCCCTGACAGCCTGCAACCCCTCCCCTAATGCATGGAACCCCTTTCCCTCACTCATGGGGCCCTGCCCCTCACAATTGGAGCCCCGCCCCTCAACCATGGAGCCCCGCCCATCACTGCCTAGAGCCCCGCCCCTCACTGACTGGATCCCCACCCCTGACAGCCTGCAACCCGCCCTGTGTGCATGGAACCCCTTCCCGAATTCATGGGGTGCTGCCCCTCACAATTGGAGCCCCGCCCCTCAACCATGGAGCCCTGCCCCTCAAAGCCTGGAGCCCTGCCCATCCCACATGGAGCCCCGCCCATCACTGCCTGGAGCCCTGCCCCACACACATAGAGCCCCTTCCCTCACACATGGAGCCGTGCCCCTAACTGCCGGGAGGCCCACCCCTAACCCATTGAGCCCCGCCCATCACTGCCTAGAGCACCGCCCCTCACTGACTGGATCCCCACCACTGACAGCCTGGTACCGACCTGCAGGCATGGAACACATCACTCATTCATGGGGCCTTGCCCCTCACAATTGGAGCCCCGCCCCACAACCATGGAGCCCTGCCCCTCAATGCCTGGAGCCCTGCCCATCCCACATGGAGCCCCGCCCATCACTGGCTGGAGCCCTGCCCCTCATTGACTGGGTCCCCACCCCTGACCGCCTGGAACACCGCCCCTCACCCATGGAACCCCTTCCCTCACTCATGGGGCCCTGCCCCACACAATTGTATTCCCCCCCCTCAACCATGGAGCCCTGCCCATCCCACATGGAGCCCCGCCCATCACTGGCTTGAGCCACGCCCCTCACTGACTGGATCCCCACCCCTGACAGCCTGGAACCCTTCCCCTCACCCATGGAACCCCTTCCCACACTCATGGGGCCCTGCCCCTCACAATTGGAACCCCGCCCCTCAACCATTGAGCCCTGCCCCTCAATGCCTGGAGCCCTGCCCATCCCACATGGAGCCCCGCGCATCACTGCCTGGAGCCCCGCCCAAGACACATCGAGTCCCTTCCCTCACACATGGAGACCTGCCCCTTACTGCCGGGAGCCCCGCCCATAACTGCCTGGAGCCCCGCCCATCACAGACTCTCTCCGCACCCCTGACTGCCTGGAAAACCGCCCCTCACCCATGGTACCCCTTCCCTCACTCATGGGGCCCTGCCTCTCACAATTGTATTCCCGCCCCTCAACCATGGATCCCTGCCCATCCCACATGGAGCCCTGCCCATCACTGGCTGGAGCCCTGCCCCACACACATCGAGCCCCTTCCCTCACACATGGAGCCCTGCCCCTTACTGCCGGGAGCCCCACCACTAACCCATGGAGCCCCGCCCATCACTGGCTGGAGCCCCGCCCCTCACAGCCTGGATCCCCACCCCTGACAGCCTGGAACCCGACCTGCAGGCATGGAACATATTCACTCATTCATGGGGCCTTGCCCCTAACAATTGGAGCCCCGCGCCTCAACCATGGAGCCCTGCCCCTCAATGCCGGGAGCCCTGCCCATCCCACACGGAGCCCCGCCCATCAC